GGGTCCCCCCCGCGCCGGCCGCTGCCGCTCTCTCTTCTGCGCTGCCGCGGCCTCAGACGAGGCTGCCAAATGGCCGCTTTTTAACCCTTGCCGCCGTTCACAGCCACACCCCCTGCCACGTCAGCCTTCCTCTCCCTCGCAGGCTTCCCGCTCAGACTCGGGTCTCCTGGCTCTGCCCCGGCTTCACCGTCTCTGGGAAGCCCGGCTCCCTCTCAAATCCTCAGTAAATTTAAAGGAACAGCTCTCACCGCTGCCGGTGCTGCTGCCGCTCTCTCTTCTGCGCTGCCGCGTGCTCTTTTATGGGTAAAAGCCTTAAGGCAGCTCAGCTTAGAACAAGACCAACCCCTTTTGCTTTATCTGTAACTCAGAAGATCACTATCTAGAAGGAACAGACTGACTATTCTTTAGAAAGGTAGGTCACAACAGCAATGTCACAAAGAGGACAGTGGTCACAACTATTCTAGGATCAAACTTAGTATATAGAACTCCATAAAATTAAGGTATGATTAAACAGTGGCATGAAAGATCAATCAGCCAGCTACAATAGTCAAAATGGTCATTTTTAAACATGCAAGAAAAATGTTTTTAGAAGTCTTCTGGTAAATCAAGGATTAACAAAGCATGCAAGAATGGAAGTCAGGCAACAGGTTTCATTACATTCTGAAAGTCTTTAGAAGGCAAAACAAATTCCATGCTCAGGTGTGCAAAGTCAACTACAAAAAGTAAATGCAGAATTATGTACAGAGAAGTAACAAGCCGCTCAAATGGTCTTTCACATTAGGCTTCTTCAGCCTGATTACGGACCCAGCAAGTTTTTCAACATGGTTTGAGCTTCTAAAGATGAAAATGAAATGGGTAAAGAAAAAAAAAAAAAAGAAAAAGAAACTGAATCAAACTGTTGGTAGAGATCTGACCAAGATTACCTGTTCCATTGGCTTGCATCTGTGGCTTTGCAGTTTGCTGAGCTGCAGGCACCTCTTCCGTCCTACAGAGAAATTTGAAACAATGTGAAATGCCACAGGCGAATAATTTATTCCATTTAGGTAAAGGGAGAATCAGAACCTCCATGGCTTCTATAGCTGAAATAACACAATCATGACAAGAGATAATCAAAGTTACGCCTTTTTGCAGGATTCAAAATATTCACTGCAAATTTCACTTCTGTTCCAGGTAAATACCATCTCCTGGAAGGAGAAGTGTGGCTTAGCCATTTCCTGTCACCAACAGCTCAAATTCACCTTAAATTACTAAATAACTTAGTATAAAATTTGGTTTATTTCTTATGCCTTTGTGTTGTGTATTCATTGCAATGCCTGCTGGGAAAACTCTTCAGAGCCTTGACTTTTTCCACAGTAATAAACAAAAAGGGAATCCATATGGCAACTTGATAACCACAATACTAGAACAAAAGCACAGTTTAATGCATGAATCTTGAATTCTGCCCTCTTTACTCCAATCAAACACCACTCATCTTCACAACAAGAGGAATAGGTGTCAAGAATTATTTAAAATGGTATGTTTTAAGCTCTTGAAATGCAGATACCAATGAACTTTAAAAATATCTTTTAAAAACTTGTAAAAAATATTGTTCTGAAAAACTGAGTAAAAAATTTTCTAAAAATACATGGCGAGGAGCAGGCATCATTGGTCTCATCTTTCAAAATAAGTCAAGACTATTATTCTCATCCATTAAAGTTAACAGATTTTGGAAAACACAAATGCTTTTGCCATTCTGTACATGCTCAAGGCTTCAAATTACATTTGCACTATCCACAGCCTCCAACTGCCAAACTGTCTTGAGAACACTTCAGGCTTCAGTCCAAAAGTCTTCAGCCATCCATGTAGACATCCTACAGAAAGATTTCTCTAATGAAGCAGCAGCTTTGACAACGTAACACCAGCCATAGCAAGCTTTATTTGACCCAGAGTTGTATGATTGAAAAGATTACTGCTTGAAACAAAAATGTGTTGGCTGTGATATTTTATTATCACTACAACATAGGTGCTTTCAAATGTTCCCTCCATCTTTCACTGCTCAGAACGGGAACCAACTGGGATGCTGGTCAACAAATGGAGAGTGGGAAGAGGGATCCTACTGTGCTGGGTAGATTGCATTGATATAGGTGGATATAAATTTCTCTTTCTTGCTGTTCCTTTATTAAGTACATTGGAGAAAGATCTCACTGTACTGTCTGCACACAGAGAAGGCCATTATGAATGTGTGCAGTCTGAACAACTATGATGGAGTCACTACAGAACAAATTATCTCCCTTCCTTCCTAAGCACTGTCCCTAGTTAATGAGCTTTCCACATTCTCCTTAATTTCTAAAAGGAACATTTAGAAATAATTTACTGATTTAAAATTATAACCAGACATCTATCAGTGTGCAGCAGCCGAGCTTAATGGTTTCTACTTTCAAAGTGACTTGGTTTCATGCTTCTTCAGAACTTTTCTACACAGCTTCTGTATCTGCAGCAACTCTTCTTTTCAAAAGCCATCTGAAATTCCACATTTATTTTTTCTAGCTAATTTTTAACTTGGATTTCTGAGCTATTTTTCCTCAGTTTCTATACAAACCATGGGTTCCCCACCTAAAACCTGTTCTACTCCTTACTCTTTCCACCAAACCCTTCCATCTCTTCAATTTCCAGCTCTGTCTCTCTAAAGACAGACAGTAACTAACGTAATCAAATTTGCACAAACTATTACACAGCAGTGTCTTGTTTTCTTCTGTCAGCACACCAGGCAGTTACACCATACAGGTGGGCATTTTCATCCTCAATCTGTCACTGCCACAGTGTTTCACTGAAGCTGAAGATACATTTTGGAAGTAAGCAGGTAAGCAGGTTCACACAAGCAGGAGCCAGCTACTCAACCTGCTCCACATGCATGCTCCAAGTGCAAAGGCACTTGGGACATGTCACGCCTGAACAGCTCCTGTGGCAGAGCAGAGATGGGATCCCACCACTGCCAGCCATCAGAGCCCTCAGGCTAGGGCTTCCTTTGACGTGCTGAGATACATTTTCAGAAGCAGCTCAGTATCATGACTCCCCGTGTTTCTTGGAAAAAATAAAAAAATCTTATCAGGAATCAGCTCTGAATAGCTGCCTCCCTGGGCTTATAAGATCTTATCAAGAATCAGCTCTGAATAGCTGCCTCCCTGGGCTCCATCAAGAACACGTGACGGTTTGGCTTGGGTTTGGCTCTTCTTGGTGCTCTTTTGTTTCATTTTTTTGGCAATGTCTTTCTTACCATCTGCCTGTTACTCCTTCCCTGTGAAGAACCTGACCTTTACGAATCATCAGGTTAATGACAGCTCATTACTGCACCTGTGAATCAGGTTATAATTAGCCGTTTCAGACAGATTTGGGCTGGAAAGCTCAGAATTCATTGTTTCAGCTTGCACACCCACTGAGAAAGAAACCCAAAATCAGGTCATGTAGAACCAGCCAATACAACAAAACCACTGATAGAGGGAAGGAATTCTCTTTCCTACAGCTTGTGAATCACTCTTAATGTCAGAGATCAGTTAAAAGGCTGGAAAACATAAATGGTTCCCAAAACAACACAAAAGGCTATTTCTATGAGGGCTTCCTAATGGCAGCCTGCACCAAAGAGAACAAACTGCATTAATTCCTCCAGCACCATGGCTTCCACCCAGAAAAAAATACTGTGATTGAGAACATCAACAGACCGCCAAGTTGAGACTGGGTCTTGTTTACGCAACTGGAGACTGGACCCATTTAAAGGCACAGGCTGATCAGAATATATCAGCGCAACTAAAGCCAATGGAGAAGACAAACACAAATATGCCCATTCTTGTTTTACATTTTTTTAATATATACTGAAGCCTGGGTTTGCACAACTGTGAGAGCTGCTCATGACTAGCAGCATTCAAAAATGACCAGCACACATGGATGGAGCAACCATTTGATGCTGCCCTACAGAACAGCACCAAAGGATTATTTCTGTAGCTGCAAGTATGACACAGAAGTTAAGGGAGTGTTTACACTGAAGGCCATTTACCTTAACTAAGTATTTTGGTTTTGTGCATCTTAATTTTAGATGGCAGTGGAAGACTCAATGAAAGAAGTAGATGCCTGGAGAGGCAACAGAACCTGGCAAAAGCATGTATATGGCTCTGCAGTTCTGACAGCATCTCAAATCAGTTAACAGAAGACCACCTGGTGCAGCTGTACAGTTCAGCAGAAGCTTAAGTGCTGGCAGTACTCATGAACCACAGTCAACACATACTGTGGAAGGAAGAGAGGATTTGGCTGACACCTCAGTTATGATGGGTGCTGTCCCCCACTTTGCCCCAGAGCTGCTTCTCATCTACCTACACTTGTTTGATGACCATTCCTTTGCAAGTGTCACAGCTTTAGGGTGTAGTCAGTCCTATCTCAAAAATGTTTATAGGTGCCTGTAAATTGCATAGAGTTATACCTATACAACTGTTTTCTTGGTTTAGAAGTCATAGAATCATAGAATATACTGAGTTGCAAGGGACCCTGAACACAGTTGCAAGTAGAGGTGTGTGTGAATCAATAGACTCTACCAAAAAACTATGTAGAGACCACACTTGCTGCACACAAGTCCAGGCACTGCAAGGATGTTCTCAGACATATGAAAAACAATTTTCCTACAGGCTGATTATCAGTAATGAGTTCACAAGCAAACCATCATCATTCTTCTGACAGCTGTTGTGGAAGGCTGATATATCTTTCTTACTGCTCAAAGCAATATGAATGCATATGAATTTCCATCAAAAGCACTTTACAACCTCAGAAATGAAAAAAAAAAAAAAAAAAACCATAAAGGAGGTATCTTCACAGCCTACTTTAAAGGCAAATCACTCAAGTATACATGGCTTGAGGAGCTGTCACAAAACTGAGTTAAAATACTTTCATATTTTATAACATTTTCCCATTAAAATACACTAAACATTCCAGAAGCCTTTGTCCTACTTACCACATACTCCTGCATTTTACATGGCTAGTGTCCTATACTGGTAATTTTTGAAACAAAACAAAAGGTTTCAGGAGACACATCATCAACCCAAAGTGGTACAATATCTATATGTCCATGGGCAGAAAAAAAAAAAATTAAAAATCCTCTTGACAGGAGCTACTTTACAAGCAGCAGCCTGTCACCAAATCTACTCAGTTAAAAATAAAGGCACACACTAAAGTTCAGCCAACTGGTTATGTCAGCAATCGCGTCCATGTGTCAGCAATGCCAGCACAGCACAGCAGCTGGGTGAGAAACTTTTGACCCCAGTCTCAGGTTCTTGCTACCTGTGTGGAGTCCCATGCCTGACAGGGATCCTTCCAAGAGGGACCACTTCCAGCCTCTAGAGCAATCTCCAGCTGAGATGTCTTCTCGATGGACAAATTCAGCCATGCTCAGAACACCACACACGTGGAAGACAATGTCATTTAACAAGAGACCAGAAGAATGAACCAAGGTAAGTGGTACACAAGGAATAGTGGCTTATGTAATATTGTCTATTTTCTCCTCTTAAAAATAGCTCACAATGATACTATTAAAAAGGTTTGCATAAGCCACAGCTTGTTGGTAGGTGTTGTTGAAAAACTTCTATATGTTTTGTCATTTTTTTTTGTCTTCTGTGTGACAGAGCAAGCTCACAACCTGCAAACTAAGGCAGCAACAGCCCACAGTTTACACTAAAGCATTGCTCACACAAACTATTCCAAATTATTTATGCATTGCTCCACTAGTAAAGTGCCACAAGCTTCAGCTGTTGCACCAAATGCTGGGCTGTCCCAAAGTGAATTGATGGAAAACTTCACCTGAGGCCACCATGTTTTCAAATACTCAGACATACAGACAATAAACACCATGACAAACAAAACTACTATCCTTTTTCTCCTCTCGTCCCACCTCCCTGTGAAAAAGTCAATGAAAGAAGCCAATGTTCTACACTAAAACCAAAATTAAATATTTAGACTCATTGTTTTCTCTATGCTGAAGAGTTAGCAACATGTGTTTATATAGCTACATGTATTGATCTACTACACAAATATTTCTGAATGCTTCAACTATTAATTTCTTCTTTCTTACACTACAGCATGATTTAGTCTTCATTAGTACTTCACTCCTGTAAGCAAAGAGTACATGCCAACATGTTTACATGCGTATCTATTTAAAAATGATACGAAAAATAAGCTAAGAAGCAGGGTAAATTTGGATTTGTTGACATAAGGAGAGGTAACTTTCTGTGGTAACTTTGCTTAATAAAATTAACTTTTCATCAGATGTAAAATTTAGCCTATTATGTCAGCCATCACTTTGTTGGCCTAAACATAGGACATAGATCTACAGCAAAGTGCAAAAAAGATAAAAAGCAATGAAAAAGATTTTCACACAATGGAACACAACTTATGGAAAAACTGTAGGCAACCTGATTTTTCTTCTACTTGGTAAAAACTGGGAAAGTCATCAAAGTCTTTTTTGTTGGCATCTTACACGTGCCTGACTGTCCCAAAAAGGTTAGAATACTAGAAGGACAAGTTAGAAGAAGACTCAGATAAAGGAGATAACTGGCTGAATGTAACCCTTAAGTGCAACACCCAAGCTAAAAGGACTACTGTAATCCTTAGCATATTTAAATGGAAATACAGCATTGAAGCAGACAGGTCATCCTGCCTTGATATAGGAATAGGATGCCTGATAGCAATTTGCTGTTGTCCACAATCCAACAAGACACAGATGTTGACATAGATATTGATAACGACCTTCAAAGTCTTTTCCCTGTAAAACACATGTATTTTTAAGTCACAGTGGGCCATATCAGACCCTGGGTCATTCTCATTACACTGAAACAAGGCAGGATGATGGGGACTTACAGGTCCTTCCTGCAGAGGATTATGGTTCCTCATCCTTCTCTAGGACTCCCAGCAATGATGGGATCACTCTCCCCCTTTGCTGGCACATGACTTAGAGCTCAGGCATACCTGCTCTCAGGAGAGAGCTTCAAGGCCTACACCAGCATTAATGGCAAAATCTTTACTGTGCTCAAAGACAAGCAGGTGGAATCTGCATCTCAAATGATGTTTTCAAGGCAGCAAGTCAGAGACAGAAGGTATCCTTACGCATCAGCTTTATGTACTGATAACAGAAAACAAGACTCAGTGCTTTGTATTGCTGTTATGGAGCTAACAAATATTCTCAGCAGGGGGATGGGACAAAGTCTGTCCTCTTCCACTGTCACCACCAGCTCTCAACCAGGCAACATCAGTCTAGACATAAAATCGAAGTTACATGTGCATATAGCCAGTCCAAACAACCTAGGCAATAAAAATCCACTCCCACTTGTCATCTGTAAGAGCAACTGTAAAGCATCACAAAGAACACCTTCACATCAGAGTTGTCTATATCACACTGCCAGTGCACAGACGTGGGACTGGCTTGGTCAGGTCAAGACTGCACATGGACCAACCTTGCACAGAACCAGTGCAAAACATCAGCTAAAGAACCCCACTGCACTGAGTACTGAGGATAAGAGGCCAAATTTATCTTCTATACAAGGCCCTGGTGAACCCACAGTTTGAATCCTGCATGAGCTCTGCCTCTTCATCTTAAGGCACAACACTTAAAGAGCAACAAGTGATGAAAGGGACAGCGTACTCTTAAAGACACTGAAAATGCTGGAACTCTTCAGTCTGGATAGAAGAATAAGAGAGAAAAAGACTATCAAGAGTATTAAATAAGCTGAATACTGAACAATCATTCACCACACCTCACAATTCTGTAACTGTGGGGCACCTCCTGAAATCACCATGAAATCTGTTGGAAAGGAAAGAAAATAAAATGCTTCTTTAGAGCCAAGAGGGGACTTCTGTAACATATTGCCTCCATAGCTTCCAGTGGCAGATAGCTCCAGCACTTTCAAGAGAGGGTTAAATAAATGAATGGATAACAGGTCTGGAGATTCTGAAAGAAAAAGCACCCAATGTACCTTCTGATATCCCTAAGTACAGTGTGTGTGGATGTTTATGAGGAGTGGCTGAAGGAATTGGGGTTGATTAGTCCAGAGAAAAGGAGCCTGAGGGGAGACCTTACGACTCTCTACATCTACCTGAAAGGAGGCTGTAGTGAGGTGGGGGTTGGTCTCTTCTCCCAAGTAACAAGCAAAAAGAAAAAATGGCCTCAAGTTGTGCCAAGGGAGGTTTAGATTGAATATCAGGAAAAATCTATTCACTGACAGGGTTGTCAAACACTGGAACAGGCTGCACAGAGGAGTAGTTTAGTCACCATCCCTGGAGGTATTTAAAAGTCATGTAGATGTGGTGCTTAGGGACATGGTTTAGTAGTGGATGTGGTAGCATTACATTTACAATTGGACTCAATGATCTTAAAGGTTTTTTCCAACCTGAATGATTATGTGGTTCTATAGGAGTAGGAGGCAAACAGACCACAGAAAACTAAGCTCACATGTTCCCTATAAATGTCTATTTCCATTGCTACGGAATATCAGTGGACATGGACTGCTGGCCTGATCAGAAAGGCATTTTCACACCCAGGGTAGGTACAGAATCCTATATCCAAGCAAAACACTTTGCCTGTTTGTTCCTGCTTGTCACCTCTAAGTAACTGGCAGTGCTTATCACATATTTTTACCACCTCAGCCTGCACCACCTTGTGATGACAGTACTTGATGGCAAACCATCCGTAGGAACAGATCTTATGGCTCAGCCAAGTAATCTTAGCTACTTCTGAAAAAGATAACACAGGCAGCTATGTGTGCAAGTGCTTTAGACCAACAAGGCCACAAAGCAGCTGCTATGGTCTTAAGATCCAAAGAAGTTAGGCAGACTAAGGGGAGACAACATCAAATGTGATGCTTTGCATCCTCAAGGTGGGTGTCATCAAGGTCAAAAGGACTTAGGGGCAAAGGGAGGCATGGTTCTATTTGTCATTGAAGTAGCAAGGAAAGCTCAAACTCCACACATTTAGGGATATGCTGTGATACTGGGATGCCCTCACTGGCACAGGAGTAACAAGGCCTGGGCAGCCTGGAGGTAACACAGGTTTTGAAGAGGCAAAGCACATGTAATGGCACAGCAAAGTCTCTGACATTCAGGGTGCAGGAACAGCTCTGGGTAAGTGAGATCCCAGAGGCAGTGCATCAAGAAGATGACATGAAGAATATCCCAACCAGACAAGTGTCAGGACACCTCTAGCTAGAACACTATGTACAGTCAAGTAATTAAGGTGTACATGGGAGTACAAGATGTACTTTTACAGGGAAACAGAGGCAGCTTCTCTCTCTTAGAGCTACTAATTTCTTTAAAGAGAGCCTAGATTGAAAATGGATGCTTTCACCAGAACTCCAGAAACAGTCAGGGATGACAAGTGGCTTTCATCTTTACAATGAATACATTTATCTTACCTTGCTTTAAATATTTATCTTACCTTGCTTTAAGTACTTCATTGACTTTTTGTTCAAGTTCTAATCTCCTTTGACGTTCCTTTTCTAGCTCCTGCCTTAACGTTTCAGCATTTGTTTCTTCCCTCAGTTTCCTGAGCTCCTCCTCTGTTAATTAAGAGAGAAAAAAATTATTTAGTTAACCTGAAGTATACCTATAAGAAATATAAAACCTAATTATGACAGATTAAGTGAGGGATTTTTTCTGTTGTTTTTTGGGTGTGGTTGTGGTGGTGGTGGTGGTTTTTTTTCGTTTGTGCTATACCAAATATATTGACCAGAAAAACCAAGTAAACAAAAGCTACAAAGACTTCATAACAAGTACAGAGAGGTATCATGTAAAAAATGTTTACTTACAATTGTTACAGTATGGAGAAAAAAAACTCTAAAGTTTTCTTTTCAAGATGCAATACCAGATACATACTACCTTCATCTAAATAAAACATGCCATACCCTTCATTCCCCAAAGAAATAATCAGCAGAAAAGGTAGTATATTGCTAAATCCAGTGAAAAAAAATAAAACAAACAAAAAAAAGAAAAAGTATCTGTTTTCTTTCCCCATGTCTATGGGTAGAAAAAAATCAAAACCATCATATACTCACATAAAGTTATATGATGCCATATGACCCTCTATCCATCAATTTCTGGCACCTCTGTATTTTTATGTAAGTCAGATGGACATATTGCAAGACCTGAATACCTTACAGTTTTAAAAAGAGGTTATGAGACAAGGAACAAAGTTCAGATTTTAACCTTGCCTGAAGTTACAGTGTGCCTGTTACAGGTACAATAATTTATATATTAATAAATACACATACATATTTACTTATGCAAACATATACACACTCTCACAATTGTTTTAATTAGAACTTCCTATCAGTTATGCATAAGGCCTTCTTTATGACTAAATAGCCTTGCTTTTTTATCACTAATTGTATCTTTTCTCATGACTTTATTTTACTCTACTGCTACAACAGGGTCACTATCACTGATCACTCTTCCCAGACAGGTATACAAGAGACATGATAAAAACAAGCCTGAGAATTATTTTTTTTTTCTTTTTAAACAAAAAAAATTACATTTTGGTCTTCTGGTTAGTTTTTAAGCTCAGTCTCAACAATAAATAACAGAAAAGCAGGTATATTTCAAGCTTGAAGCAAACCAGAACAGGAAGTACTTTCTAATTCCACTATGAACACAGACACAGGGGTTCAGGCTTTACATCATTTTACAAGATTCGCATATTGTGTTCTACCCTCCAGCAACCTCATTTGTTTGTTTTCACATATTGCCTCGTATATCTTTGATAATCAGATAATTTTGGCCTCTGGGCCTCTCTGACTCCAAACATTACATGTTTTAAGAAGGCCCCAAGCCCTAATGCAAACATTCAGAAGAACCGACAATCTCTCCTCTCTGCAGGAGGGCATCAAGCAGTTTCTTTCATGATTTTATCCATTGTAGGCAGTGGCAGATCCTCTTTATTCCCACATAACCCAAAAGGGTTAGAGCACAGTATCAGAAGAGATGGGAAAAAGATGGGCTCAAGCTGCAAGAGGAGAGGTTTAGATTAGATATTAGGGGAAAATTCTTCACTGAAAGGCTGCCCAGGGAGGTGGATGAATAACCATCCTTGGAGGTGTTTAGAAGACATGTAGATGTGGTGCTTAGGAACATGGTTTAAGAACTGGTCTTGGCAGAGTTAGGCTAATGGTTGGTAGAGTTAGGAGGTTATGGTTGGACTCGAGGATCTTACAGGTATTTTCCAACTAGAATGATTCTGTGATCAAGAGGACAGTACAACATGACTGCTCCCACCATGAGACTAAAGCTTGAACCCAACCCAACTGAAAGGAATGCTGTCATCTTGACACTGCTTTGTTAGCGACCCCAGGAAGAAACATTGGAGCACAGAAACCAAGTTATCCTCCAGCAACTAAGACTGAAATTTATTTCTGAGGGCAGGGTTAGTTGCAGGTATTGTCTCTCCTGTAACTAAATGAAAAGATACAGACATGTCCATACCTGTAATGGAGCTATTCCTACTCACGTGTCCACAAGGAATTTTAAATGCAACAAGAAAACTATGTTTATAATTAGCTTACCCTACTTTCAAGGGCTTGCTTTGTTCCAGAACAAGAGGATGCACACAGCTGAAGGAAAACATCTGTTGCACTTCAAATGCACTGAAGCTTGCACAATATCATGAAGATATCACAAAAAATTCCAAAGCTTGATAGGGATGTTATCTTCTCAAGACCATTAAAGGGAAAAAATTGTGCACTAGGGACGTTTGTTTTTTTTAAAGAGGAAGTGACTATGCAGCATTTTGCATACGTAAGAAAACCACAAGTAGTGTAAATTAACCTCAATGCCCTTGAAAGTCTACTCAGATCCTCCAGCGTCCTTGATCCAGTTGTTCTGATTATGCTACATCTTGTTCTATTAAAAACAAAACTCCCAGAAGCTTGACCACTAAGAGGACAAGCAGTGCCAGAGATGCAGAATTTATGCAAAAAGGCAGAGATAAAGGGTACACAACGAACAAGGCAGAACTCCTACAAAACAAAGAATGCAGCATCTCATCATTAAGGATTGCCACAGCTTCACATTTCACTGCATTTCCTAACTTTCAAGTACATGACTGCAATTTAAATCCATCCCACTATGAATGCTCTGGCCCCTCCAAGACTTCAAAGCAGCGTTTGTTGCTACTTTGGCCGCAGTGTGGTCTGGCATTGTACAACCCCTGTTTGGTTAGTTAAACACTACTTCACATTTGCTAAGCAACAGAAACCAGGGTGGGGAAGCAAAAGAAAAAAAAAATATATATAAAAAAAATAAAAGTAGTGCTCTTTCTTGCTCTCTCTCTCCTGAAATAATCTACAATTTGGGCAAGCTGAACTGAACTTACAGAGGACATTCCTCTAGACCCAGAGGCTCCCCCTGCAGAACGAGTGAAGTTGGCTGCAAAGAGCAGAGGTCACAGACCCTTGACAAGATACCTGGTAGAACATGTGACCTTGGAAGTTTCATCTACCATTGTACCTACCACTGAGCTTTACAGATTAGTTACCTCCTTGAGAATAAGAACAGAGTACTCCTTAGATTTCACCTTCAGACAATCTAAACTTAAACATCCTTCCCACTACCCACACACACAAAAGGGTAAAACCTGAAAGGTCAAGCCACAGTTCCAAGATTAATCACTTCTGTAACTTCCCTCTCAGACGTATCAATCTCAGCTCCCTATCCTCTGCTGGGCAACAAACATTAAAATACTACAAGTGGCTCAGTGCACGTCTTAACTGGACATCCAGGTGATGTGAGCAGCCATAAAGGTGTCTTGGTTAGAAAAGAAATATTGCTGAACAGAAGAAAACATCTGTGGAAGTACGAACAGAAAAAATGCCAATCAGCCTGGGAACTACTTCAGGGAAACAGAATCATCCTTGAGAAGTGCAGCTGGTACCTAGAAAGCAGAGACAACCTGAGATACCATTGATAACTGCAAAAACAAGGAACTGTAGCAGTAACTTATCATATGAAAAGGTGAAGAGCAGTCTTGAAAAAGAGGAAATGCCCTGAGAAAGTAAGAATTGGTAACTGCCATCGGCTGTTCAATCTCCAAGAACAGAAAAACTGCCTGGAAAAACAAAAACTGATCTGAGAGAAAAGAAAACCTTGACATCTACTGGCTACTCCATGTGAAAAATCAAAACAACACCTATTTGATGTATGAAGTAGTGGTGTCTAGACCTCCTTATTGCTCTGGGATATGAAAATAACTTAATTTTTATACAAAATGGAGCTTCTCTCAATGAAGAACTGTTGTGCTGCACATACATCTCCTCTCCTAAATAAGCTGAACTCTTCACACAAGCTTTCTAAGAGATCTTGAACCCTTGCTGCAGAGGATTTGGTTTCTACTTCCCTGTGGGATGGTTTGCCACCTTCTGAGATATGTTCAATAGGCTTCATACTAGTATTTTTGTAAACATATGTATAAGCACATAGAAGTAACCCATCATAATTACATCTGTTGCTATATTATGGATAAGTAGGCTTCACTAGTGATAAGTTTGTAGTAACCTGTAATAGTATACACCTACTTGGTTGCTGCCATAGTAAAGTTTGCTGCCAATAATTTGTAACAGCCTTGTATTTTTTAATTCATATACATATTTGCTTTATCAATTTCTAGGGGTGATTTTTGTGCTATTTTTGGCCTGTAATCTGTAATCAATTATAGAAACTTAGAGTAAAAAAGTCTCTGCGTCCTTATGTACTACAGAATCCTATCAAATCACAGTCATAATCTCTATAAAACTGCAGGCTGGGTAACCCTTTTGGTTGTGACAGCAGGTGTGACCCTTTAAAATCTCTCTAGCAAAGCCAACTCATGTAAAAAAGCACAACAACATCTGGACAATATTGCACAAAAACAAGAGAAAAAATTGAGAAAAGGCAACAACAGTGTTTCAACTACAGTTACTTGCATATTATTGCACTGAAACTGTAGGACAGTTGACCCTGTAGGAAAGACCAAGATCAGCTATGTGTCTCACAAGTTATGAAAAAAACATATGCATTTTAGGTTTCTTATAGCATTTTATCCTCTATTAGCTGTAACAGAACTGTTGCACCTGCTCTCTAAGGATTTATTAGTTTAAAGACCTAACAATTCAAAAAGTTTAGTTGACACCATGTCGTTGTCAAGGCAAGCTACCCAGCATTCTACTGCACCATTGTATGGCATCAGCCACCAGAGCAATTGAAAAAGCTCAGTTTGCTCCCAAAATACACAAACTGGGAGAAAATGTTTTGGTAAAAAGCTCTTAAATACCAAAGTATTTATTTCAGCTGAGACTGAACAGAAACTGAATTTTATTTAGAAAAGAAGGCTGCTACATCAGACTGGGAAGGTGCAGCAGCAGGTTGGATTTCTAATTCTGCATGTGCAGTAAAGCGGATGTTTCCCTTAATACAGGGATTAAAGGTGGATTAGGGTCTCCCCTAGTAGCTGTTTTACATAATAGCTTTCCTTCATAGCCCTACAGGTAGACTGCAAAATCCCAACCTGGGACAAAGTGACAAAAAACCCACC